TTGAGATCCAGTTAGGACAGATTTCCATGGACTTAAATAATCGTCCTCATGGGACGTTACCTGCAGACACCCAAATCAATCCAAAAGAGCAGGGCCCGAAGCAGCTGATGGCAGTGAGTCTTCGAAATGGTAGGGACTTAGATCTGGAGCAAGAAATTACTCGCGAAAGTAGGCCGACTGAGACACTAGTGCCAATACCCATTGAGATAGATGATTCAACAGGTTTAACTGAGGTGACGGTACATTATGCGCAAGATAACACCAACAAAGAAGAAGAGATTGTGAAAGAGACTGAAGTTGCACCGGAACCGATAGTAAAAGCAGTGCTTGAACAAGAGAAAAATCAAATTACAGGGAAGAAGCGACCTCCAACACTATTCCCACAGAGATTGGCCAAGTATCAAAAAGATGAGAAGTACAAGAAATTTTTAGAGATGTTGAAGCAAATTCAGGTAACCATTCCATTGACTGATGCTTTAAAGGAGATGCCTGGGTACGTAAAGATGATGAAGGACTTGATGCAAGTTCGACTTCCAAGACTTGGCCACGGTTACACAGACTCAGACATGCAGTGATGTTGTTACGAGATCCATAGCTGAGAAGTTGTCTGACCCAGGGAGCTTCAACATCCCTTGCACAATAGGCAACTTTGCATTTGCTAAGGCACTAAGTGATCTAGGGGCAAGCATAAATCTTATGCCCCTAGCGATCTACAAAATGCTAGGCATTGGAAGAGCTAGACCCACATCTATGCTATTACAACTGGCTGACCGAACAGTGAAAAGACCCTCTAAGATTCTAGATGATGTGTTGGTGCAGGTTGGGAAGTTTGTGTTCCCAGTAGATTTTGTCATCCTTGACTGTCGGGTTGACGAGGAAATTCTCATAATTTTGGGAAGACCATTCTTGGACACTGGGAGAGCTTCAATTGATTGTGAAACTGGAGAGCTCAAAATGAGATTAAATAATGAAGAGTTAACATTCAACGTGCATAAATCTATGCGCAGACCTAGTGAATTTGCCAATTGCTCTCTAATAGATGCGGTGGATGTAGTGTTGGAGGAGGACGATGCAACATTGAACATTAAAGACCCTCTAGCAGCTTGTCTCATGAACTTAGATGAAGCTAATGGTGAAGACTTGGCAGAGTGGGTACTTGCTCTTGAAGGCCAAGGTTTTTGGAAAAGGGAGCTTGAGTTTGAGCCCTTGCACTTGGAGGAAAAAAAAACTCCTCCAGCTAAGCCGTCAATAGAAGAGCCACCAAAGCTGGAACTGAAACCACTGCCATCTCATCTCAGGTATGTATTCTTAGGACCTAACTCAACTCTACTTGTTATTATCTCATCCAGTTTGTTAGATGTGCAGGCAGAACAGCTTTTGCAGGTACTAACTGAGTACAAAACTGCAATTTAGTGGACCACTGTAGACATTAAAGAGATCAGCCTGGCCTTCTATATGCATAAGATTCTGCTGAAAGATGGGCACAAACCTTCTAGAGAACATCAAAGAGCTGAACCCCAATATGAAAACGTGGTAAAAAAGGAAGTGATTAAATGGTTAGATGCGGGAATCATATTCCCCATCTCTGACAGCAAACTGGGTTATCCCAATGCAGTGTGTACCGAAAAAGGGAGAGTATAACGATAGTGAAAAATGAGAAGAATGAGTTGATCTCTACACGAACAGTCACAGGTTGGCGAATCTGTATGGACTATAGGAAGTTGAACTTGACCACCAGGAAGGACCACTTACCACTGCCATTCATTAATCAGATGCTAGATAGATTGGCAGGGAGGTCTCACTTTTGCTTCCTAGATGGGTACTCGGGGTATAATCAGATTTTCATTGCCCCAGAGGATAGAGAGAAAACGTTGTTCACCTGCCCTTATGGAATCTATGCTTTTCGGCGAATGTCGTTTGGCCTATGCAATGCACCCGCCACATTCCAAAGGTGCATGATGGCCATCTTCACAGATATGGTAGAGGAGATAATGGAGGTTTTCATGGATGACTTCTCAATGGTGGGGAATTCATTCGATGATTGCCTTGTGAACTTGAGGCGAGTGTTGAAAAGGTGTATCGAGACTAATCTGGTATTCAACTGGGAAAAGTGTCATTTCATGGTACATGAAGGATAGTTTTGGGGCACCTAGTGTCAAGTAAAGGTATTGAGGTGGATCGTGCAAAAGTTGATGTGATAGAAAAGCTTCCACCGCCCACCTCCGTCAAAGCAATCAGAAGTTTTCTTGGGCACGCCGGTTTCTATAGGAGATTTATAAAATATTTTTCCAAAATTGCAAACCCCTTGTGTAAATTGCTTGAAAAAGATCACCCTTTTGTGTTTTCTGATGACTATAGGATAGCTTTTGAGGAATTAAAGAAGAGACTGGTAACAATACCTATCATAGTTGCCCCCAACTGGGAGCAACCATTTGAGCTGATGTGTGATGCTAGTGATTATGCTGTGGGAGCAGTTCTTGGGCGGCGAAAAGATAAAATCATACATCCAATATACTACGCAAGGAGATGCTATGACCAAAAAGGAGATACTGGCAGTGGTGTTCGCATTTGACAAGTTCAAGTCTTACCTGATTGGCTTAAAGGTAATTGTTTATACTGACCATGCTGCTCTCAGGTACTTAATTGAAAAGAATGAGTCAAAACCGTGCCTGATTTGATGGGTGCTATTATTGCAAGAGTTTGATTTGGAGATCCGTGATCGAAAGGGAACGGGGAACCAAGTCGTTGACCATTTATCCAGACTGGAAGGAGCTAAAAAAAAGGTTAAGGTAGAAGATATTTTGGAAACATTTCCAGATGAACAACTACTAACCATGAGTCTCGAGGAAGCGCCATGGTATGCAGACATTGCAAACTACATGGCGAGCGGTATTGTTCCTTATGACCTTTTCTCTGTTTAAAAAAAAAGTTCTTTCATGATTGTCGCATGTATTATTGGGATAAACCTTATCTGTTCAGGATTTGTGTGGATAACATGATCTGGAGATGTATCCCCGAGATAGACCAGTATTCTATTTTGCATGCTTGTCGCGTGTCACCATATGGTGGGCACTTCGAGGGAGTGAGGACGGTTGCGAAAATCTTGGAGTCGGGGTTCTATTGGCCAACATTGTTTAAAGATGCACATCTATGGATAAAGGGGTGTGATGAATGCCAACGAACTGGGAACATTTCCCGCAGACATGAGATGCCCATGAACCCAATTCAGGAGGTAGAAATGTTTGATGTATGGGGGATCGACTTCATGGGTCCGTTCGTTAGCTCATATGGCAACAAGTACATACTCATCGTTGTGGACTACGCGTCCAAATGGGTAGAAGCTGCAACACTCCCTACAAATTATGCAAATGGGGTAATTGGTTTTCTGAAAAAGAACTTTTTCGGGATAACGAAACCTTGAGTGCGATCTAAGTAAGTTGTACTTAAAAGCTAGCTAGCGTAATTTGGGAGAATATGTCTAGTATATTATTGTAATTACTCGTGAGAGAGTTACGTCAGAGTGCTCATGATCGATAAAGAAGACTTAGGCAAATTTATAGCAAACAAAGCAGAAAAGATTTCGACACCAGGGAAAATCAGAACCTTAGACCTTTCTCATTCTTGCTTACGACCAGTTTAGAGCTAGTTCTTAATTCCTGCATTTTTATTACGTAATATTTAGTTAATAAACACCCATTTTATTACTCAAACATCTCTGAAGATTGAATACGTGAATTTCTATGACTTCAATAGCTGTAATCGATAGGTTAATTCCATGTGGGATTCAACTCCGAACTTGTTAATCGGAATATATTTACAGCTACCGCTTTATTCATTTTATAAAGTATAGTTGGGCGTGATCACTTATCCATCCAAAAATTTTAAGAAAAGACGAGGTGAAAAAAAGGTCCTTTTCAAAATAGATGATATTACTTTAAGTGATTGACAGGAATAATCCTATAAGGGATTGGTCTTTAAATATTGTCCCTGTTTTCTAATGTATTTAGAAACTGACGGACCCCACACACATGCATTGCTTGTCTGTGATTTCTCTATTGGATTGATAGATTTTATACTATGTTTAACCTTCGTATATTGTTAATTGCTCATAAACTCTACCAAATTGGCATGATTTTTTGTTTGTTTAATTGTTCACCAAACTCTAACAAATTGGCATGATTTTGTATTATTTGTAATTGACATTCTATTAAATTTTTCATCAAAGTCTACCCAATTAACATACTTTTTCTGTATTGTTCAACAATGTGTTATTCGAAATTGTAATTTTAGTTTCGATCAAACCATTCCAAATCTGGTTCGATCTTAACTTTAAAACAAACCTCTATTACCAACACAAATAATTTTCAAGCACAAATTTAGTCAAAAAAAAAAATTAAATCAAGAAAACCCACTTTATCTTCTTTAATATTTTTTTAGGACCAACAATGAACTTTTGAAAATTTTAAAGTAAATCACTAAATTATTATTTGAACTATAAATTATTATTCAAACGATTTTAATAGTAATCAATCATTAGTTTCCAGATTTTATCCCCAAACAAGAATTTCACGCTTATAATATTGAAGAACTCTGATATTCTTGGTGAAGAAAAGGCATACTTTTGCAATAAAATAAAAAACAAAAACAATATTTAAAGATGAATCCCTTAGATTAGAGGACAACCTATTGTAAGTTTTTACATTACTTCTCAAGGGAGAAATAATCGAAGATGGAACCTAGAAGTGCATGCAAACCAACACGTACCCTTCTCCTAATTTCCCGTTAACAAAATGATGGGTCCAAACATATACTGAAAATCATTGGCCTATTGATGATGTGATTTACTAATTCATTGGACAAATTAACATGAATTTTTTTATTGAGACCATTCACTTCCCTTAATATTTTCTGTGTCTGAGATAGAAAATCGGAAATACCACAAAGGCCAAGTTTAATTTATTTTCAATCCCATATATATTCACTTCCTTGCAAATTACTTGAGAGTCATCTTCTTTCTCTCTTTGGCATTATTCCATTTTTCTTTCTCTCACAAACATTACATTTAAGTTTGTGAGAGGAAGAAAGACAAGGTTTCAAGCCTCATTTAAATTGCTAAGACAAAGACAAGTTAAAAAAGAAAAAACAATATGGGTGCTTGTGCTAGTGTACCAAAGGGCATGAGGGCTGAGGCAATGGCAGCTCCTCCACCGGAACATCCGAAGGAGGAGAACACCACCACTGCCACCACCACCACCGCGCCTGAGGTGGTGGAGGTGAAAGAAGGTAGTGACAATGCCGAGCCAAAGGAGGATGAGAAGGTGGCTGAGGAGAAAGGTGCTGATGACAAGCACCAATCTCTAGGATCTTTGCTCAATGAGGTATTTATGATTTTAAATTCTCTGTTTAAAAATATTTAAAAAATATATTTATATAATCAGGCCAATTATAAGTTGAATATAAGTAAATCTCAATCATTTGGTGACCCAAAAAATTAAAATGATTTCTAGTTAGTTTGCTATCAGAGCTTAATTAAAATTGAGAAATATATAGGATAAAAATTGTTAGTGTATATAATTTAAATTAGGTATTTAATGGGTTACATAATTGTTGTCATGTGATCAGGAGGTCACGGGTTCAAGCCGTGGAATAAAAATGTAGGGTATGACTGCGTACAATAGACTCTTGTGGTCCGGCCTTTTCCCGGACCTCGCGTATAGCGGGAGCTTAGTGCACCGGGCTGCCCTGATGAGTTACATAATTATATATGTTACCTTCTAAGTATATATTGTTGATGGGAAACATGGAAAAAGATCAATGAGTTGGAACAAAATACTACTAAGATTCAAAAAACTATTTCCCAATTAAAAATCTCCCCTCGACCCTTCCTAATTATATACTGTACTTTGACAACAAGCACTAAACAAATAAAGCAGAATTTAAGTTGATGGGTGCATATCAGAATTTTTAGTTTGATGGGTTCGACCTTGAGGATTCAGCACTGAACTTATTTAACCGAATAAATTATGAGTTCAAAATTTAATATTTGTAATAAAATTTTAATAAATTTCATTTATATATATATATATATAATGTGTCAAAAATATTGGGTTAGGTTTAACTGTAGTCAGAATACTACATCCGCTTTTTTGACAGTTGGTGTTGAACTTAATGTAAAAACGTTCATATACATATACGGTTCAAATTCAGGGGCGGAGCCAGCATGTTCTCTAGGGTTCGGCCGAATTCACTAGCTTTTATCTTTAAAAATTCATTAAATATGTACAAATTATTCATTAAGAACCCAGTAACTTAAAAGGATTAGAATCTCCGAACTCATAAACTTCAAATGCTAACTCCGCTTCTGGGTTCAATCTAAGAGTAATGGCTGCAGTCGTACTATTTGTTCAACTGCTGCATCTACCTCCAACACAGTTCTCAATAGTTTATGGGTTCTGAACTTGCCACTAAACTCATAGCTCGTCTTAATTTCTGGATTCACATTTAATTTAATTCATACATATTTATTGTATTTCTTAATATAAATACAAGATTTGAATAAAAGCTACTGGCTTCGTCCGAACCCCTAACTCCACCCCTGAAAGCAAGACTTGTTTATGATTGATTACTTTGAAACATGAATGCAACAGAGTGAAGCAGCCAAGGAGTCAGCTAAAGATGAGAAGAGCTCAGACAGCAATGCTGAAACCAAAGAATCAAAGGATGAGGAGCTTCCAGTATCAGATGCAGCTGTTGCACAACCCTCTTCTTCTTAATGAAATAAAATGCCTACATTATTTGTTGATGTCTTCAGAGGCAAGCTCAAATGTGGTGAAATGGAAACAAAACTGTTTTTTTGGTGGATATATGTTTTAGAAATATCTGTATTTTCCATTGGGTATTTCATATTGTTGGAGTTCTCTTCTTCTTATGTTGAATTGTTTTGTTTGTTTTTCTATTAATCACTCGCACAGTACAGCTACTCTTATCTGGTTGTAACATGTTATATACAGTACCATATTTTTCAAATTATCAATTAATGATTACTGAAACAGCTAAATCATAATTATAAATGACCTGATTACGATGTGCACTAAGCTCCCGCTATGTGCAGGGTCCGGGGAAGGGTCGGACCATAAGGGTCTATTGTACGCAGTCTTACCCTGCATTTATGCAAGAGGCTGTTTCCACGGCTTGAACTCGTGGCCTCATGGTCACATGGCAGCAACTTTACCAGTTACGCCAAGGCTCCCTTCTGATTGCAATGTTAGTAGAGAAGAAATAGGAGAGCAAGAATTTCAAGTAGGGCCATGAGCAGGATGTATCTGTCATTTCTTACATGCTAAGCGAAGGCCTCGAGGGTAAACAGAAATTAGAAACTAATGGCCCTCTAGGTGTGTTTGGTACGAAGGAATTTCCAATTTCCCCATATTTGGTTAATTTTAATATTTTTAAATATTCTTGAAAAAAACAAAAAAAGTAAAACTGAGTAGATAAGAAAACAATGTTCACATATTTATAGAGAACTCTAGCTAGATGTGGCGCCACTATGACAACAGTTCTCAAGAAGGAAATGCAAAGTTTCAATCAAGCATCACATAGCAAAAAGAGGAATTATTAGCAAGGTTAAAAGAAAAACTACATCAAAAGAACAACCATCAATATAGATACTAGCATCCTTCAATGTGATAAGAAACAAAAAATGTCAATCTCAAGACAAATTTGCTTATAGTTCAAATATTGCAGGCAGCATATGGTACATGCTGGAAAGCCTCTGATACTTCAGCCACCCTTTTGGCCAACTTTAATGAGATATAAGCAGAGATACAAGGATTTCCGAAATTCTTCCAAATACCATGTGCAAAGGTAACTGGTAAAGTTGTTGTAATATGACTAGGAGGTCACGGGTTTAAGCCGTGGCAACAGCCTCTTCCAGAAATACAGGGTAAAGCTGCGTATACTAGACCGTTGTGGTCCGGCCACTCCCCCGACCTTGCGCATAGCGGGAGCTTAATGCACCGGGCTGCCTTTTTTTTTTTTACCAAGTGCAAAGGTAGAAATGAGGAACACAATAAAATTAAAGATTTCATGTAGCAAACACCCAACAAAGTGTCAACAGGATAAATCAACTACCACACCATGAAAGTTACGACTTTGCGTCTTACACCAAAAGAAAGCAAACAGGAAGCAGGAGACAAAAGGTACGTTGTAAGGGTAACAGGCAAGGGCTTACTAATAGAAAGAAAATTACAGACTGCGTATTCTGCAGCATGTGGCGCCTTGCTAAAACATATGCTAATAGATTATTCAGTCTGAAGACTTGTTTCACAGCGCTTGAGCTGAAGCTCCATGCGCTTATTCTCAAGCATCATAGCCTTATTTTCCAGCTTCAGTTCTTGTAGCTCCCTGTCTTCTCTCCGGCGGAACCTCAGGCACTTGACTCTCTGCTTCTCCAGTTCCAGAATTTGGGCCTTAATTTGTAACTTCTGTTCTTCCAACTGCAGTAACTGATGCATAATCTGCTGCTCATTCTGCAATGTCTCTGCCTCCTCATTGTTAGTATAATCATGAATCCCATTGCTGTTGGGATTAAGCACATTACAATCTGAATTAATGAATGCACAGACCACATTGGAAACTCTTTCTTCCCCGACTATCTTTCTCTTTGCAGACATATCCTGCACAACATATTCAGGCTCATACCTGTCCTTACGTTTGAGAGCCAACAGCACAGATCGCTGGAGTTCCCGATCATCGGGAAGGAATAATCTATTTTGGTTGTTGTATGAGCACAATTCTTGATAGAACAACTGTTTGCTACTTAAAAGCTTCTTCACTTCCTCCTGCGCATCATGAGTCAGGTCCATCATTTCCATAAGGCCAGGGTTCTCCACAACACAACATGCAGTGCCTCTCCCAAGAATATCATTCAGTCTCTTGAACTTTTTGTTCAGATCATTAAACTTATCCTCACACTGCTGAGGTGAGACATGATGACCACTTTCAGCCATAGCATTGGAAATAGCCCTCCATTTACCTTTCTTTGGGAATATCCCATTGGACCAAACATCTTCTCCGATGTAAGAAACAGCAGTGATCAAAAGCTTAACCATCTCATCTGTCCATTTCATACGACTGTATACAACAGGCTGTTTCTCTTTATTCATCTTCCATCTTGTACGCCGATACACAACTGGCGGTTTCTCTTCACGACGTACAGTGACTTCTTCTACATCATCTGACCTCTCATTATAAGCTTCATACACATCAAGTCTACTGGTTTCGATAGCATCTAGAGACAACACTTGTTGGTTCATGTCATGCATGTTGCTAAAACCAAAGGATGCGGCACCTTCCAGAGCATGCTGCAAATCCCCTGAGCCCTGGTTAGGGGAATCGCTTTGTTGGTGATTAACTTGCATTGATCTGCACAAATCTATGATATCACTGGATTAATCTGGTACATATGAAGCAAGCTGATGAATGCTATTTCTACATTTAGCAGATTGGCAATCTTAATAACTCACAAACTTACAGATCCAGTACGATTTTGCTCATTCAATTAAGTGGAGCACAGAAAAGATACAAAATAGATTCTATGACTAGATTCTGCAGAGATAAAGGGCGAAACTAAGGCAGAGAGTCATGCAACACAGTTGAGTATAAATTTTTTATCCCTATGATCATCTATAAAGCAGAATTAACAGTTACATTGCACCGATTATCAATAGAACACAACCTAACTATGATATAAATAACAAGAAAGGAAAAAAATTGATTCAAGTCACATTTTACCAAATGCAGATGCAATAAAGAAATAAATTTACCATAGAATAAATGAGATCAGTTGCAACATAAATCAAATGTTTTTTACCCCTACAACACAAGTTCTTGTTTACTTCTACAGAAGAGGCTTATAAATTAAGTGAATACTTCGAGGGTGCTTCGTGAAACACATTGTTTTAATCGCCCAAGAAAGAAGAGAACTTACAACAGATGTGAGGTCTGCTAACAAGTGCCGTCGCTTTTGACAAATGGGATGATGGCAGCAGAAACAGGTGGGTTTTAGGAGACTTTGCTCGGGGAATTGGGCGGACTAATTCCCGGATAAGTTAGGTTACAAGTTGAAATAGGCAGCATACTTAATGTTTTATACACATATAGGTATCTCGGACTAATTTGTATATGCATTCAAAACAATGTCACATGGAAAGTGAGGTGTTCTGCGAAATTTTCTTAAAACTAATTAAGGAAAATATTTAATCCTTAATCCCCTTCCTCCCTCCCTCCCTCCAGTTTTTTCCCAAGAAATATGGGGCTTCAGATAACTTCTGATTAAGTTCTATAAGAATAAGGATCAAACAAAATACTTACAAGTTTTAACACAAATCACAACCAGTGGATAAAAGTTGCATTTGATTTAATTTACCCAAAAGACAAAAAAGTTGCGGTAATTCTTTTTATAACTGAAAAATCCCCCAAGGGCCAGCTGGCGCACAGTTCGAAACTCGGCGGATAATGGGCCTTCCCCTCTAGCCTTCTCCACAAAGAAATTGTGGTAATTCAGCACAGATAATATCATCTCAATTATATGACCTAATTGACAAAAAGGTTTGGTCAGAATAAGAGAGAAAATACAAACAATCAACTTATACCAAGCTTCAGAATGTAACTTTCACTCTTTGCAAGAACAATCAAGTAGACAGCTTGGAAGAAAAAAAAAGGAGACAGCTTGAAAAATAACGGCTTATTTCTGATGTGGTAACCTAGTTACTCTCTCTTTCCGTTTTCTTCTCCTATTTATTTCTTTAGGCTATATTCATGTCACATTTCTTTCCTTTCCTCTTGTTTCCTCTTTTTTTTTTGAAAAATTTCCTCTTGTTTCCTCTTTTCACCTTTCTTGGTTAATTCAATTTTGTAAGAATAGGGCGAAGAAGTCCTCAAACAAAGATGAACGAGTAAAGTCTTGGAGAAACAGAATCTAGATAGCGAAGAAAAAGGGAGACACTCTCTGAACTTTTCATTTTTCTTGTCGATTATTTCCTGTTATTATCATCCTAGAGATGATAATCTTGGAATTAATCTTGTTAATTATAGGATATTAAATATGCACCACGGGGATATGCTTCCAGATTAATTGATCCACCATGCAGTTCCTTATCAAAATTTTAAATTAGTTTATAGTTTGTATTTTCCCGTTGTCATCTCTCTCTCCCTCCCTCTCCCCCATTTTCTTCAAGTTGAGAAGTGTTTCTTGAAAGATTAATTGAAGAGTATAAGGTCAGACGGGATGAACACAAATGGTCCTATGGGAAGTACACAGAGTAAGAAGAGGACAGAGTAAAGATTATGAGCTTGGGAGAGTATTTAAGAAGATGGACAATTGTTCAAACAGTACTAACCACAAACTTAGAATACCGTTTTTGGTTACATGGAGGAACTCAGAATTACAAGCCAATACCTGGAAAAAAAAAATCTTTTTCTGGCTGAAAACTTCCCTTGTAACTTTATGTTTTTCTGCAGACCCTGAACCAATGACTGATACCCATTCATACAAAGACTACAAGAAAGACAGTCAGCCAGATAAGTGATATCATTTAATTTTCATACAGCTGGATCAAGTCACTTAAATAGTTAATCCATCCAGAAGAAAATTCACATTCCTTATTCATCTTTTCAGAAAGTTTACTTGCCAAGCTTCATTCAAAAGTTCGCATGACCTTTAATCTCATAAAGAATACAGTTTTTCCTTTTTTGGCTCAACTAGCAATCTAAATAATGAAAAAAAGTTTTCTTTTTTGTCTTCACTAGCTATCTAAATAGCTCAATGGAGTATTTGCTCTACAGCTCTTGTGGTAATTGTACTTATATAATATTCATGTGTAAACTGCAAGTTTATCATCACATGCTTGTTCCAATTATGCAAAGTTACCCAAGGGGATCCTTTATTTCCATGAAATTACTTCACGGATGAAGGATTGAATTGCATACTCTAGATCCAGAGATGTAAGGTGACTTCACATTTAAAATAGACTACATAAATACATTAGAATTTTTTTTGCTTCTTTTATCTAATCTTTAATAATGAGAACTTTTGATTTTTTGGGATGGTTACAATATCATTTTCGTGTCAACATTAAGTGGGGAAAATTGACAAGAGTATAAAGAGAGAAGAGTGAATTTTCAATCAGATTTTCTCGCAGTGCTGTTTCACTCTCCTTTTCCGTTAACGAAACAATTTCTTGTCGCCGTCGGTATCAAACAACTGGTCGTCGCCTGATAAACATCCGTCAATGTCGCCGGAAAAATCCGTCAACGTCGTTGTTGCCGGATATTGCCGAAAACCTCGCCGGAGAATAATCCAACAGATAAACTGTTTTACAATTTCACTTTTAAGCAAAATCTCCGTGCTTGTGCCCATTTTGAAATTTGGAAATTCTGTTGCTTGAAGGAAAATACAAAAAAGGGTTCAATTTCTTTCCTTATCTGTAGTATTCTTGTGACCGGAATTCAATCCATTCCGTCTCAACTCTCAACCCTAGCGATTCAGATTGAATAATTCATTTTGCAATTGATTTTTTCATTTGCAATTTAAAGATTTTTGGCCACGTTTGCGGTTTACAACCAGAAACAGAGTTCAATTCTTTGATTTAACACAGCCTTGATCGGGGAACTCAATTTTCTCTGGAACTCCGATTAACAAATTCTGTGGTTGGCTTGGTTTTCACATCTGAATTGCATTTGGCAGGAAAAATAAAGAACCCTCCGTCAGATTATTACGTGAAATTGGGACTCTATTTTTTGATACCCTTCTTGCCGAGAAAAGGGTTTGGTTGCGCATTCAGCAGATTTGGAAGCGCGTCCGAACATCCTCGACTTGATCCAGGTTCCATCTTTCTTGAATTGTATTTGCGCACATCTATTTACTGTTGCCTTGCCGGAAATTTTAATTGGATTGATTTATCTTTTCTACTAGTGTTTTAAGCTTAAGGTTTCATCTATCCATTTTAATTCTGTGTTTGCATAGGGGTAGTTTCTTAGACGTGGTAGATTCATTGTTCTAGTGCCTGCTCGCGTTACTGTTCTCGTAGTAGCTCCTTTGAGTTGTTTTTAGCTCTCGGGTTCGTAGCTTGTAGTCCTTCGTTCCCATTACTTGCTCTTAGTGGTAGTGTTTACCTGATACCTTTTGCTTATAGTGGCGATAGTGAACGATATGAGAGTAAGGTCATGTCCTCGGGTGGGGTTGGGGGTGGGAAGAAAGCCTCTAGGCTGGGTCTTGGAACATTGGGACGTTGACGTGGAAGTCTATAGAGTTAGGTAAGATTCTTAAGAAGAGGAAGATCAACATAGTGTGTGTCCAGGAGACTAGATGGAAGGGTACTAGGGCACGAGATGTAGACGGGTTTAAACTATGGCACTCAGGAAGCGCTGAGGGTAAGAATGGGGTAGGTATTTTAGTTGACAGAGACTTCATGGAGCTCGTGGTCGAGATTAAGAGGGTAATATAGGTTGATGAGTATTGATAACTAGGGATTTTGCTACATTTTATACTCCTTGCTTAAGTTTTGATTAGAAATCTGTACAAAATAGTCTCAAAGGCTCACAAGTTGTGCTTGATTGCAGGTTTGATCAACAAGGTGACAAGATGTCGAAGATCAGCTCAAAAGGAGTGAAACTTGCACAAGTATCAAGACAAGACAAAGCTCAGACAAAACAAGGCCAGTGCGGCCGCACACCATTCTGTGCGGTCCGCACAAGTGAGGTTCAGAGTATGATATTCAGGCAAAAAGAACAATGCGGTCCGAGTAAGAAGGATCAGAGAGTTGCCAGTTCCGAGTTTCAAGCCAATGCGGTCTGCGCTCCATTTCATGCGGACCGCACTAGAAGCCTCCGCGGTCGCACTCCATTCTATGCGGTCCGCATTGCCCGAGTTCAGAGAGATGGATTTTTATGTCAAGAGCCTTACTGCAGCTGCACGTGATTTTGTGCGGTCCGCACTAGCCCCGCAGGGGTATTTTTGTCCAGATTTTTCAGCTTAGTATAAATAGTTTCTTTTCCCATTTTTAGGTCATCAAATAATTTTAGCTAAGAGCTGCGCTCGTGGGTTCGAATATTTTAGCTATTTTGAGCAATTTTATCTACATTTCAACATTGAATCTTCTTGTTTATCTTAGTAATTAATAACTATGAGTTTTTCTTCATCTATTTCTTGTTTTTCTTCTTTAATTATGAGTAGCTAAACCCATAAGCTAGGGTTGTGGCTCAACCCTAGTGTGGGTAATGGATGGGTCTTGTGTTTTAGGGCTAGATTGGCTATGAGTGTTTGATATTTGGGCTAATTTCATGTTTAATTGCTGAATTAGTGGTCTCAAACACTAGTTTGTGTTTAGTTGACTTGAGCTCTTTTTGAGAAAGAGAGCTTGAGTCTCTAAAATTGGTCCAACAAGGAATTGGGGCGTACTCAAGAGATTGATAGCCCCAATTAAAGGGTTAAACCTCGAGAGAGTAATACCCGACTTGAACCTTGATTGTTTGTGCAAATTTGCATACCCAATTGGTCTTGAGAAAGTCAATTCGGGCAAAATCACTTGAACCACCGAAAGGTGTAGAGTGGTTAAAATCGTGCAACGGTTATATCATACTCCCCAAATATGTCAATCATGCCTTAGACTCAAGTATCCGTCAATTGACCACCTAGGCAAAAGTCACTACCCTAGTGCCTTTTAAACCATTTGAACAACCCGCAACATTTTATTCTTAGTTTATTCTAGTTTAATTTACCATTGTAGTTTGATAAAAGTAGAAGTAAAACAAAAACCAAAAAATATTTAGAAGTGTAATTTGGAACACATACCCAACTCTAAATTAGATAGATACCCGACTCCAACATCTAGCTCTCTGTGGAAATCGATCCCGACCCTAAATCGGGTAAAAGCTGCTTCGACCCTCTCTCGCTACTCAATAGTAGTGCAGGGTAGGCTTTGATCAAGTATTAAACTGGTAGTTGGTGGGTATACTGTAAACGTGATTAGTGCATACGCTCCTCAGGTAGGTTTGGAACAGGAGGTCAAGAAGCAATTCTGGGAGGATTTGGACAAGATGGTGCGTAGTATCCCGCACATAGAGAAGTTGTTCATTGGCGGAGATTTCAATAGTCATATTGGGGCTAGTGCTAGGGATTATGATGATGTGTTTGGCGGGTTCGATTTTGGGGATAGGAATGAGGGAGGTAATTCACTGTTGGAGTTTGCTAGAGCTTTTGATTTGGTTATAGCTAACTCGAGTTTTCCGAAGAGGGAAGAGCACTTGGTCACTTTCCGAAATTCAATGGGCAAGACTCAGATTGATTATCTTCTCTGCAGGAAATGCGATAAAGGTCTGTGCACTGACTGCAAGGTCATCCCAAGTGAGCACCTCACGACCCTACATAGGCTCCTAGTTATGGACCTGAAGATCAAGAGGAGTAGGAGGAAGAGGGCGGGGTGCAGGCAACCTAAGATCAAGTGAGGTAACTTGACCAAGGACAAAGCTCAGGAGTTAGGGGAAAAGTTGTTGGCTATGAGGGCCTGGATGAGTAGGGGGGACGCGTCTAGTATATGGTTCACGACTGCGAATTGCATTAGGGTAGCTGCTGGAGAGGTCTTAGGGGTCACGAAGGGCTCTCCTGGGGGTCATAAAGGGGACTGGTGGTGGAATGGAGAGGTTCAAGTTAAAGTGAAAGCTAAGAATGCTAGAGAGGTCTTAGGGGTCACGAAGGGCTCTCCTGGGGGTCATAAAGGGAACTGGTGGTGGAATGGAGAGGTTCAAGTTAAAGTGGAAGCTAAGAAAGCTGCTTATTTGAAGCTAGTGGAGAGTACAAACGAGGAGAAAAAAAGGACTTATCGTGAGTGTTACAGAAAGGCAAAGAAAGAGGCGAAGTTAGCAGTTACGACGGCTAAGAACACGGCATTTGCTCGTTTGTACGAGGAGATCGGGGGCAAAGGCGGGGACAAGAAGTTGTACCGGTTGGCCAAGGTGAGGGAGAGGAAAGCTCGCGATTTAGACCAAGTCAAGTGCATCAAGGACGAGGATGGCAAAGTGTTAATGGACGAGGCACTTATTAGGAGAAGATGGCAGACATACTTCTATAAACTATTGAACGAGGAGGGGGATAAACGCATTGTGCTGAGTGAGTTGGAGCACTCCGATAGTCGGCGGGATTTTGGATACTGTAGGCGGATTATGGTAGAGGAGGTGGAGGGGCGATGCATAAGATATGCAGGGGCAGAGTGACGGGGCCAGACGAAATCCTGGTAGAATTCTGGAAGAGCGCGGGGCGGGCAGGTTTGGAGTGGCTCACTGGGCTGTTTAATGTTATATTTAAGACGAAGAAGATGCCCGTAGAATGGAGGTGGAGTACGATGGTTCCGCTTTACAAGAACAAGGGTGATATCCAAAATTGCAACAATTATAGGGGTATCAAGTTGTTGAGTCACACTATGAAAGTTTGGGAGAGAGTGGTGGAGGCCAGGGTGAGGAGGTGCGTGTCTATTTTCGAGAATCAATTTGGATTCATGCCGGGGCGTTCGACTACGGAAGCGATTCATCTGGTAAGGAGATTAGTGGAGCAGTACAGGGAAAGAAAGATTGATTTGCATATGGTGTTTATTGACCTTGAGAAAGCGTACGATAAAGTCCCGATGGAGGTCCTATGGAGGTGTTTGGAGGTTAGCGGCGTTCCGGTAGCGTACATTAGGGTGATTAAGGATATGTATGATGATGCTAAGACTCGGGTGAGGACTGTGGTTGGTGACTCAGAGCATTTCTCTGTGGAGATGGGGTTGCACCAGGGATCGGCTCTTAGCCCATTTTATTTGCCTTGGCGATGGATGTACTCTCGCGACACATCCAAGGGGAGGTGCCTTGGTGCATGCTATTTGCCGATGATATAGTGTTGATTGACGAGACGCGAAGCGGAGTTGACGCGAGGTTGGAGGTTTGGAGACAGACTTTAGAGTCTAAAGGTTTCAAACTGAGTAGAACTAAGACAGAATACTTGGAGTGAAAATTCAGTGACGGGACCCATGATGCAGACGTAGAGGTTAAGCTTGATGCTCAACCTATCCCCAAGAGAGCGAGTTTTAAGTATCTCGGGTCTATTATCCAGGGTAAGGGGGAGACTGACGAAGATGTCGCACATCGCATCGGAGCGGGATGGATAAAGTGGAGGCTCGCTTCCAGTGTTTTATGTGATAAGAATGTGCCGCCAAGACTTAAGGGTAAGCTTTATCGAGTGGTGGTTCGACCGGCTATGTTGTATGGGGCTGAGTGTTGGTCAGTCAAGAACTCCCACGTGTAGAAGATGAACGTAGCAGAGATGAGAATGTTGAGATGGATGTGTGGGTGTACCAGGAGAGATAGGATTAAGAATGAAGCTATCCGGGACAGAGTGGGAGTAACCTCCGTGGAGAACAAAATGCGAGAGTTGAGGCTGAGATGGTTCGAACATGTTAAGAGAAGAAACATTGATGCTCCTGTCAGGAGGTGTGAGAAGTTGGCCATGGGGAGTTTGAGAAGAGGTCGAGGTAGGCCTAAGAAGTACTGGGGAGAGGTGATTAGACAGGACATGGCGCTGCTTCAGCTTACTGAGGACAATACGCTTGATAGGAGGGTGTGGAGGTTGAGGATTAAGGTAGAAGGTTAGTGGGTAGTTTTTAGTTGTTCACCGATAGTCTTAGTAGCAAGCATGTCCCTTCATATTCTTAGATTTTTATTACGTTATGTGATTTTGCTCGCCTCAGGTATTGTATTCCCCGTTGCTATTATTTGGTACTACTTATCCTTTATCTCTCCCTTTTTTTTTCTCTTCCTTCTTTCTTCCTTCCTTGCTTTCCTCTTCTTCTTCTTGACCTTCCTGAGCCGAGGGTCTATTGGAAACAACCTCTCTACCTGCATTAGGTAGGGGTAAGATCTGCGTACAGACTACCCTCCCCAGACCCCACCTGTTGGGATCATACTGGGTTTGTTGTTGTTGTATAAAGAGCCAAAACTGAGGAATATTGTACTTTGTTTGGGCGCCTATATAAATTACAAAGCATGTGCTTCTTTTAGCTTCTTTTCTCTCTCTTAAATCTGCCAAAGAGTTGTTTACAGTGGTTTTATTATCTTCTAGTTGAATGATAACCTAGGATGTATAATTTATAGCATTTGCAGCAAAGTGGACTTCACTTTGAATTTGGACCAAACTGAAAGGTCGACATTCAATTTTGGGATGGAAAGAGTACATTCTTCTCATGTTGGTGCTGTATTTTCAGTTTAACAAATGCCTACTAAGATCCGCTCAAGGTTATCCTTTCTGATTCAGTCAATAGCAGATCCTTCTTTCTTGCTAACAGGGCAAAGATGTTATAATCACAGTTTATCAATATTTCCTCAAAAATTGGAACTCACAGGCAAAATTTACAGCACACTTGCTTAGAAATAGAATTAGATCATCCTGATCAGAAATAGCATCAGGTCATAGTCTAATTGTCTTTTGGTAAGAAGGAAACAAACAAAAGATACTTAATAGTTTCTGTTAAGAGGGAAAGAAATGTAAAGTATATAATATTTTGCTAATGAAAAACCAAGTTTCCACAGAAGAGCTCCAAATCAAAACTTTGCGATCTTGCAATTTGCAGAGCCATCATGTAAGAATGACCATTCATGACATTATCTTCGTTAATTTGCAGGGACACAATTCACTACTGCAAGATGGTGCGTGGACATACATTTGCTAATAGGTATTCATATAGTCCAGAGTAGAACTTAAGCATCAGTGTAAGTCAAAATGTTCCCACTATCGCCCCAAAACTTGCTCCAAAGATATCTTTCCATTATTCCAGTAAACAATATTAAATACCCCAGAGTTACTCCGAAGAACATATTATGTGTTAGCAGACCAACTAGATGAAATATAACTAGAAAGACAGGTGGATAAAAAGAATCAAACACAAATAATATAATTATCATGCATCATGACCTTAGACATTTCAACTAACAAAAGAAGTGTGAAGCACCACATCTATTCAATCCAAGATGGTGCACAAACTATTATTATAGCAAATCTTATGTGAAACTCATGAGGCCACCATAAACAATTAATAGAAAAATAAAAGGGATGAGAAAATCAAGTAGGTACATGTACCTGAAACAAAAACAGCAAAATGTCAGCTGATATACACTTGGATTGAGCATCCATTTCTTGTTGTTTTATCTCCAATTCCAGACAATTAATTCTCAAGCATCATGCACTCCTTTTCTTTTCTCAACTCCCGCAGATCCTTGTCCTTGATGTGGTTGACTTTTTTTACCACTCAAGTTGCTTCTTTCTAGTTCTAACATCACATTCTGAAGTTATAGAGCTTCTTCCAGCCAAGTTGAGCTACCTATGACCCAGCAATTCTCTAGCCTTCTCTCCCTCCCCAGTACCAGCAAGAACTTGATTTACATCTAGAGGTCAATGAGCATTTTCTCTCCACTACGAGGCAAGAGTTTCGAGGAACTACGAGGACCCAGGAATTCAAGTTCTTCCTCGTAATTCTTCCTCTGTCAGGATCCTATGACATATTAAGACTTCATCAAGTGTATAATCATCTCTGCTGTCATTGCTTTGACCTTCCATGCCAGCATCTCTCGAAGCTGTGAGGCTTAGAGGACCTGACTACAGGAAGCTCGGAGCATCAGAATCATTGTCAGTGTTATAAACCAACCACAAGGGTCATTGAAGATACTAATAAAGAGGAAGGTAAAATTCGATTCAGAAATCTAAAATGGTAAAACAAATGTTCCAAGCTAAAAGTTTTCCTAACATCGTCCTCAGCATTATCAGAAACATCCACCAAATCTACAAGAGGTGGATGTTCAGCAACCTCAAAATAAGTACCTCGCCACAGTATATCACCAAGTCTTGCATCTTTTACAATCTTTCTCAGGCATTGGAATATGCGATAGCCTTCCACTTCTTCTTTGGTAAAACTAATGAATGCTTTGTTCCGATACTGCTGAAGATGGAAGAAGCATCCTCTCCAATGTATGAAACAACAGCAAATAAAAGTTCACCATCTTACCTTTCCAGCTTACCCACTGCCATGGTGACACCTTTAAATCTCTCCCACCTACAATATGCCCATGGACACTTTTTCCTAACCCGCTAGTTTTTCATCAGCAGCAGCAGAATCTTTAACTGTTTCCACCTTTGTTGCGAGCACAAACAGAATCCAGAAGGTCCAATTCTGTTTGACCCAATTGCAAGGTATGGTATGGAAGGGATTCAATGGTGGCCTTGGAGTCTCCCACCTCAAATATCTAGCTTCTTTCCTGCTGCTACACCTATAATGACTAATATTTTGGACTTCCTCCGAAGGGTAAAGCACCATTGAAGAGTAAAAATGTCTGTTTTCCAGGTGACTAACTTGCAATGATCCTTGTATGCCTACAAAACCACAAGATAATCACAGCTGGTTGATTATATTCCAGCAGTTATTAATCACAGAAATAACTTAGAAACCTAAAATCCAATGAATATCTGCATACTGCCCCCAAACCTTTCAGTCAATTACACCTCAATTCCAAATTAGGGGCCAGCTATACGAATCCTATGTATCCGGTGCGATATTCAATAATTTGTCTTTAAGATAGTAATTTAGGGTTCTCTGAAACTAGTACTATATCTCACACTTCCATACAAGGATATACAAGTCTCCAACCAAGATAAAAAACGGTCTTGGGAAAACACAGGATGCATATACAAATCTCCAACCAAGATAAAAAAGGTCCTGGATAAACACAGGATGCAAAGTAAGTATAATAACTGAAGATAAACTTTAATCCCAACTAGTTGGTATGGCCTATGTGGATGATCTAAACAACAAAAGAAAAAATTCAATGCAATGCATTCGTCGAAAAGCTATTGAATGCCTAAAAAAGACGAAGCAACACTAAGGTAGCAAGTACTCAACAAGTCCACAAATTTCTGAATTTACAGGCTTCTAGTGAGTATTAATATTAAGAAAATATGATTGGACCTTCCCTGCTTTTAGACTGCAAATGATGCCATAATTGCGATAATTAGCAGCAGAATAATCAAACATTGTTGTCTATAGAAAAGTTCCACAAATTAGTATCAAGATTTTGACTCAAAAACTGAATCTTTTGAATCCAGAAAACTTATTGGAACATGTAAGTCTCGCTGTAGTAAAAAAGGGTAGAGTGACAGGGTATCAAGGCCGTCACAAACTATCTCGTTTGAGAAGTATATGTGAGGTGCTTACCAATAGGTCAAATTAAGGCGGGTATAAACTCAAACTTAGGCCCCTCCACTTTTCTTTTTCTTTTTTTTAGATTAAGATAAGATTTCTATCTCTAACGTTAAGATATTGTCTTCAAATCTAAATCATCTTCAAATCATGTAATATGCCCATATACAAATCTTTTTTATTTTTTATTTTCACTTAAATGCAACAACAACACATCGATATCAATAATAAAAACAGCTACAATGAAAACTGCCGTCTCCTCTTCGTTGCATCTCAAATGACTAGCTTCATCTGTCTCTATACCCTCCTTCCCTCCCACACCCTCAAGTTTATTTCATCTTTGTGGACTCTACAATGAAGATTTAACATGTTTGCAATAATTAGACTCTAAACTGCTAAGATAAAATTATAGAAACACAAACCCAAACTGATTATGGCATTATTTCCCACTATCAATTATCCTTCTCTATTAGGTTAGGCAAAACCACAATTGATTGAAGAAAGTTAACAAGAAGAAACTACATTTTCTTTGTTTTGGAGAACAGAGTTAACAAAAGAAACAACATCGTCGTACTAATCAAGAGAAAAAGCGCACGGGGGATAATTACCTCTTGCAACCTCTAATATAGTAGTCTTACTTAACTATTGAGTTGTGACAAAAATTGTTCAACACCATGTTAAATCTTCACCCTATTATCTATCATAAAATTATTCAATATCACGTTAAATATTCACATTATGAACTCAAACATACAATTTTAATAAGCCCCTCCGAAAACCTGCTGAAGCAGATGAGGAGAGCACATCAAACTCCTCTGTTGGCTCAATTTAGATGCATTTCCAATGAACTATGGAAGGACCATATTCATCGTATTCATCCTTCTTCACGTATGCAATATCTCATTGAAATAAAATCAGAAAGGCACATCCCAACAGACATAATACTCAAAAGCATGTTTTGAAAAGAAGAAGAGGTTGAAGAAACATGCAAGAATCAGACTGAGCACAACGCCAATGGAGCATATGTTCAATGTTTTCAAGAATCAAACCTAGCACAAAGGCAATTGATCATATGCTCAATGGCTTCAATTGACTCGATAATTTTAACACAAAATATAGAGATATATGTGAAAACCTGATAAAAATTCATAAATATTAAATTTGAAACCATAATTTCAAGAAATACAATGCGTTCACGGCTAATAAGCTAGTGCCCTAGTCTACTACCACAAAGTGATATACAATATGCATACCTGTTGGAAGGTGTTGCGAGAAGCTAAAATTGATCCTCCAATCCAGACTCTGTTCTTCCTTTCAGGGGGTGCCACCACCTTGATCTTCATGCTACTGGGAGCTGCAAGGCGGTAATTTCCTTGCTCAACAATCAGTGATATCAAGAAATGTAGTTCCTTCACCACTAAGGACAATGTTATCATAAAAATCCTTCCTAAGATCTGCATTGCACTTCATGATGAGAGTTAAAAGTTGATATTTGGAAGTTATAATACATTCTTGTCAATCATTCCCTAAAGCATAAAAGAACAAGCTTTACATCCATTAGACAAGATACAAATAAAAACCAAGTTAGCAACAAAAGACAAAACTTAAAATGAGCCAAGACCACTGGCTTCTTCATCTCAGAGTTATATGAATTTAATAAAAGTAACTTCCAAAAATCACCTTATTTAACCCATCAAAATCTGATTTTATAGTAAGGGTAGGACTCGTTTCTCACCTGTGATTTGGCCACTGGGATAAATAGACAAGATAACCTGAATAGCAACGTACATGGAAGGTACATGGAAGGCACGTTGAAAGTTTCAAACATGATTTGGATCATTTTATTTCTATTAGCCTTAGGATTCAAAGGTGCTTCAGAGAGCAGCACAGGGTTCGGTTGATTGACACCTAGCTCATTTTAAAAGATGTGATACCAGATCTTCTCCGTATCATCCCAGTTGCCTACTATTCCATCCTCAGTTGGGTATTTCAAGGTGAGGATACCCCTCCTTGAGTTGGTTGCATCACCAACATAAAATTCCAAATGATCCATCCCAAACCTAACGCCAGTGTGCTGTGGTCAACCAGCAATACTAGGAAATACAGCCTTGGAGCATCATCACCAGCAAATCCAGCCTGCAGATGAACAAACCAAAGGAGTTATTATTTATTTGTCTTTAAACTAGAAATTAAGTTTCTACGACCACAACTTTTACAAGATGAACATATATATATATATATATATCAATCTGTTCATATTTGAGAATCAGAAACATCAAATTATCAGAGTTATATTCACTTTCATTATTAACAGTTCAAAAACAAAGGGGATATTAAACATTTCTTTGGATAGATTAGAGCAAAAAGGAAAAGGGTTTTAGCTTATGCACTAACTTTAATTATTGAAGTCCCATTCTCACATACAAGAGGCTGAAGGTGTTCTAAGTTGGCCATTTTTTAATACCTAACAGAAGGTAAAACAGAAAATGTTGAAAAAATATGGAGAAAATGAATAGCAACAAAGTTTAAAATTAAGATTTCAAGATACCAGCAAATATATTTACCCCCAAATTTCTTGGGAACCTCATTTACATCCTTTTCAGTAAGGGCTATCAATGGTTTTTGCCTTTCCCTTGGATAACTCAAATTCCCGAGATGAAAATGGATGCTCTTAGCAGTGGAGCAACCTCTGTCGTATCCCACACAAAGTTTGCTAGGTTTTAGGCGATAAAAAGAAACTTTATGAATTCTCCAACTAATCAATACTGAGGAAATTCTAGTGCTTCTCTCATTCTAAATTTTAAAATTCGTTGTACTACTTGTGAAGGATAAGCATCGCGACTTTACATGATTGGTCATTTGGTCTACTTAGTTATAGACCAATAAAGACATGCTTTCATGTAATTGTGTCTTTGCTAGGGGTTGTGTGCATACTTCTATGAAATGTCACCTACTTACAAATGATGATAAGGTTCTATGGGAGAATGTAACCTTCCAATATGACATGAGAATGAGATCAACTATATATTATATTGTTATTCAGGTTTATCCAAACAAAAGTCACCTACAGTAAAATGGTTGGGAAACTTGTAGTTTGCAAATTTCTCATGGAGAGCTATCATCAGATTCAAACCTTTCATTTATTAATGTAGACATTTCTAAGTCACAACACATTCATATATAAGTGACTAATCACTATCAAATTAAAACTGGAAACACCACGCACACAACCTTATCTTAGGCATAAAACTATTAAGTAGGTAGTTATTTAGGTTTATCCAACCAAAAGAAAGTCAGTAAGACGAGAATAGTTGTAAAACTCTCAAAGTCCCAACACAGAAATAAGCTAGTCATGGTTTTGACAATGCATTGATGCTTTATCAATGAATCTTTTTTATTTACTAAAAAAACTACTCTTAGCAAAATAAAATTCTTTTTCTTAACAACGGTTGTACTCGGGACAACTCGGTGCATCTTGACTAAAGTACCAGGTACCTATTACCTCTCAATAGTAGAGGTACCAGGTTACTCTGTTCACCATGACTTAGACAAACCACAAAACATCATCTAGCTTTTTTTACGAATTGATATAATAAAATCGTTAGTACCCCTAAATCCAAGTATAGTTGACAGAGATCAATACCATGATCAACTATTTTACCGTTACCATTCTCAAAAAAGAAACACCATGATCAATTATTTTGTTCCGCAAGCATGAAATCAAGTAAAGATAGTTCATAACAACTGTTCAGACTTATAATTTCTGATTCATTTTTTATCAGACGGAATCCAAGAAACCTATATAGTGGTTAACACAGTGCCTTCTACTCGGCCCCTCTATACATAATGAAAACTCAAAAATACATATTTTTTTATTAATTTCGCACCTGCAGTAAAAGAAGGGTAGTTGGTGGTATTTCACATTTGTGGACTTAAAAATCCTAAAACCACTTCTGAGCCCTTTGTTCTCTTGTTATCCAAAACAAATTTGCAGATGGTGATCTTACTTAAGTAATTAATTAATATCCCCATAAATTTTGACTTGTAAGCATCCTAACAAACATAAATAAAGAAAAGCCCCTGAAAACGGCATACATGCAATAAGCAGGTTGATGATTTGAACCCTTAGTTTATTCTACATATTTTACACAGACAGCACATAAACATGATCAAACGCACAATCGAGTGAGCAGTAATTAAGAACTTGTACAAGAGCAGAGACCCCATGAAACTGGAAAAGACAAACATTTTTAAAAAGATTGTGATGATGTTGTATACCAGTTAGCGACGAAGTTCATGTGTCTCGTGAAACATGTTCTTTGTTTAAAAGCAGGTATGATTTTCCCATAAATGGAAGAGTTATATTCGTGTCAAATGTGTGTAATTGCAAAGGTAGAATATAGTGTCTGGCCAAAAACTGTTTGTGGAGAGTATTAATTTGTATTTGGAATCAATTTGAAAAACACTTACTTTTGTGTTTGGTATAACGGTTTCCAAGAAAACAAGTAATAATATTATTCATTTCCAGTGTTTGATACGCAAATTAAGAAAAATAACTTCTCGAGAGTATTCATAAATAATTCTGATACAATAAACATGAAGTCATAAACTTTCGAACCAACAACCTTCCGAACCCACAAATTTTACAAACTTCCGAACCGCTAAACTTTCGAAACCGCGAACTTTCGAACCCGTAAATTTTGTAATTTCTAAACATGTAACCTTCCAACTCATAACTTTAGAACTTGTAAAATTTCGAACCTGTAAACCGAAACATGAAAAAACTAAAACTGAAAATATATAAAAAATATTTTTTCTGAGGGGGGAGGCTGGGGCAGTTGGGGCAGGGTGGGTGGTGCAAAAAAATAAAAATTTAAAAATTACCAAAAAAAAGTAAAAAAAAAAAATTNCACATAAACCTCCGAACTTATAACTTTGGAACTTGTAAAATTTCGAACCTGTAAACTGAAAGATGAAAAAACTAAAAATGAAAATATATATAAAAAATATTTTTTCCCGGGGAAGGGGGGCAGGGGCGGGGCCGGAGTGTGCAGAAAAACGAAAAAACAGAAATTTAAAATTACAAAAAAAAAAGTTAAAATTTTTTTTGCAGGGGTAGCAGGTTGGGTAGTGACGGAAAAAAATTGAAATTTGAAAAAAAAAAACCTTTTTGGAGGGTGGGGTGGGTAGGCGTGAGGGTGGGGAATAGGGTGGGAAGGTTGAGAATAAGTTTTGGAAAATGTTTTCTCTTCTCTTGATAAGAAAAATATTTTTCTCCAATTGGAGGAAAATGAGTTCATAAGGAAAATATCTTTCAAAACATTTAAGCCAACCAAACATGAAAAATATTTTTCGGAAAATATTTCCCTTCTACCAAACACACCCTTAATGTTTCAACGTATTCTTGGCCAAGAGCTGAGTCCGAAACCTAAATGCCAATATTTTGGACTCAAAACACGTTTTACTGTGTAAAAAAAATTATTTTTCTACATAAAATACAGTATTATACCGCGTTTTACTTTAACGGCTACCGCATTTTACATCCATATTCTTGGAATTGAAGAGTTTGACCAAAGGAGTGGATAAAGTGTAACATGTGAACATGAGTTCACGTGTATCTTTTTAATCGTCAAGTGACTCAGAAAAGGCCACGTCCTTTCTATGTGACGAGAACTTTTTTATATTTTATTTTTCCTTTCCTTTATTATTTTTGGAAAACACTAATTTTGTACTCTGTTTCATGTTATGATTCTATTTTCGAAAATTAAAATATATGATTAATAAAATTATGATTTTTAAATAAAGTAATATTTGAAGTTAAAAAATAGTATTTAAAATTATATTTGGACATATATTTTATTTAAAAAAATATGTATAGTTTTGTGAGTGTGAAGAATGATAATAGGCTAGATTCATGTAGTTTGGCGACTGTTTATGCCTCAACTTGACTATGCTTCACTGTTCTAGGATAGTTAAATGACGATAAATTGGATCTAATTGTGAATTTCATGTTTTGTAGGAGTGAGTTGCGCTTATGAGGACTTAGGACAGTGTTTGGAGCTAAATTAAAGCAAGGGAAGCCCCTCGGAGCTGAGTACGTGTGAAAGAAGAGTAAAAATGTTGAACCAGCTTAGCGCGCCCTTAGCGCGACCGCGCTAGCCCAAAAAATCGAGGCAGAATGTTATGCAATATGCGCGGCCATTAGAGCGGGCACGAGCGCGGCCGTGCTAGTCCAGTTCGGAGCACATAATTTCGGGGGTAATTCCACTTAACCTATAAGAGGTCCAACTCGCCCAAAGAGACATTATCAAGGTTTTTACAGCTTTGTTGAAGGCAAGAAGAGGCAAGGAGGATAATTCGACATCGAGTTCTACCTTTCTTCTTTTTGTATTTATCATTCATGATGAATTTTGCTGTTGTTATTATGAACACGATTATGAGTAGCTAAATATTTAGTCTAGGATTTTGATGGAACCTATTGAAGGATGAATTTCGTGTTATGTTAATATAGTTTGCCCAGTTTAATCTCTATTTGTTCAACTACGTTCTTGTTGTAGTTAATTTATAGGATCCTCAATTAGCTGTGCCTATTTAGTATGTATTACTCGGAAAAGAGTACATATTTAGGTAATTGTTGAACAACACCACTCCCAAAGTATATGGGGAATCAATAACCGAGGGTTTAAAGGCGGGATTAGGGATAACGAACCTTGGGTGCGATCTAAAGTGAGCTGTAATAAGAACCAGCTAGCGTAACTCGGGAGAGTGCGTCTAGTAAATTATCGTAATTACTCGGGAGAGATTTACGGTAATAAGAGTGCTCATGATCGATAGAGACGATTAGGCAAATCTATGCGAACCATAACAAGAAGGGATTCCATCAATAGGGAAATCACAGCCTTAGAATCCTTCTCTTATTTGTTTACAATCCAGTCATATTTAACTTTTAGTTCACTTACTTTCATTCAGTTATAGTTAGTAAAAATATCACCAATTGTTATTCAAAATATCTGGAAAGTTGATTACGAAGAATTCAGTGAGTCTGACAAGAGTAATTGGTAGGTTAATTCCCTATGGGATTCGACTCTGACTAAATACTCGGATTATATTTGCAACGACCGCTTTGTCCTTTTTATAAGGCATAGTTGGGCGTGATCAAATTTTGGCGTCGTTGCCGGGGTATTAACGGTGTTATCAATTACAGTTGAAGGAAATACAAAAATTCTGATCAGTTTTCTTTATTTTCAATCTATACATTGAAATTTAAACGTTTGTTGACTTGGTTGTACAGGTGCATGCCTAGAAACTCATTGAGAACTGGTGAAGTATTTGAAGCATTATCAGATCCCGAGAAAGCTTCAAGGCCTTGAATCGGGCCAACCGGAAAAACAAACAACAACAATCAACTGAACAACTCGAACCAGACATGGGGGATAATGTGGTAGACCCAGCTACGCCAGTGCGCCAGTAATGGCACCTCTTGTGCCAGAGGCTGCTCTATATGACTTGGCACAACCCACAACAGAGAACTTGGCTACAACGATCTTAGTCCTGCAGATACAGGCCGAATCTTTTCAAATCACGAACAACATGTTGTGCTTGTTGCAAAACAAGGGACTATTTTCGGGGTCATACATTGAAGATCCTCAATAGCACTTGAAGAATTTCCTATCAATCTGCAAAACTCAAAGGCAGCCCAACATAACTCAGGAAGCAATAAAGTTGTTGTTGTTTCCATTCTCAGTGACAGGAGCTGTCCAAACTTGGCTAAATTCACTCCCCATTAATTCCATCATGACTTGGGAGAAGTTAGTCAAGCAATTTGTGAATAAGTTTCATCCACCCAACAAGACTGCTCAGCAATTTGATGAAATCTTGAGCTTCAAACAGAAATTAATGGAGACACTACAAGAAATATGGGAACGATTCAAAGGGATGTTAGTTATATGTCCGCACCACGGTATTCTAGATCAGATGTTGGGGCAACGGTTTTACATGGGTTTGACAGATAGCGTGAAGGCTAATGTTGATGCTTCAGCTGGTAGAGCATTCTTGAGCAAAATATGGAGAGAAAGCCAGAGCCTGCTTGACAAGATGACACAGAATTCGGGGTGGACAACTAGGAATGCACCTATCACTCTAGTAGTTCACTCAGTGCCCTTAGATCCGTCCAACACTCTTGCTGAAAATATGGCCACCTTAATGACATAGATGAGTATACTCACCAAAAAGGTGGAAGAATGATGGCAGAAGGAGCAGGTGCACATTGTAAATATTACCAATGAAGGATTATGCACATCTTGCATTAGTCAGCCAATTGGTGGCCAATGGAATACAGAAAGTGATCATCATCATTACCCTAAGGACATGAATTATGTGTCTAATTATGGAGGCTAGAGACAAGGTGGTCAGAATTGGGGCCAACAAAATCAGCCATACAGGCCAGTCCAGCCACAGCTCAACGATGGAGATATGGGAGGCATGCAACCTCACAATAATGTGGCACCATACCAAAGGCCACAGGGATACAACAATCAAAATCAGCATCAGGGTTACCATCCTCCTCAACGGCAACATGGTGGGAGACAGGAAGATGGGTTTGATAGACTCGAGGCAATGATACAGCAGGTTAATGGGTCAAATGTGAAAATGAGTGAAAGAGTAGATGCACATGAGTCAGCTATAAAGAATATTGAAGTGCAGTTGGGCCAAATTTCGATGTCTTTGAATAATCGTCCTCATGGGACATTGCCTGCAGACACGCAGGTAAATCCAAAAGATCAAGGCCCGAAGCAGCTGATGGTAGTAAGTCTACGTAATGACAGAGACTTAGACTTGGAGCAAGAGAGGGCTCGAGAAAGAAGACAGGCTGAGACACTTGTACCAGTACCCATTGAGCTAGATGATTCAACGAAACTGACAGAGGTGACAGTACAGCCTGCTCAGGAAGAAACCAACACACAGATTGAGGCTGAGAAAGAAGCTGAGACAGCCCAGGAATCGATAGTTGAGGTGGTGTCTGACAAAGAAAAAACCCAAATCATTGGGAGGAAGAGACCTCCAGCACCATTCCCACAAAGGCTGGCCAAATACCAGAAAGAGGAACAATACAAGAAATTCTTGGAGATACTGAAACAAATCCAGGTAAATATTCCATTAATTGATGCTTTAAAGGAGATGCTTGGTTATGCAAAAATGATGAAGGACTTGATGTCCCAAAAATTTGATTTCCAAGACTTGGCCA